AAAATTTTCTCTCTATCTCCTCAAAATTCCCTTTCCGATATCGACTAATTCTTCGGAACGAATCGTAAGTGCCGCCAGACCACCTCTGGCCACCACCAATTCATTCACCTCCGCCCACCATTTCATCTCCACGAAGCTTACGACTCGGAATTTCCTTTTTTGGCAGACACAACTCGTGTCGTTTCTCCGAGGACAAGGCCTGATCGAATACATTGATGGTGCGACACCGTGTCCTTCAGCCACCATCTCCAACGCTCCGACTACCGGCGACACGGCTTCCGGCGCAACAGCCTCGACATCGACAGCCAACCCCGCACACACTGCCTGGATACAACAGGATCAAGCGATCCTTTCTTTACTCATCTCGTCGCTCTCCGACGAGGTGATGCATCTAGCCGTCGGCTACAACACCGCTCGGAAGGTCTGGCAGTCCATCACCACCGCGCTGGGATCCTCCACCCGTGCCCACTGCCTAAATCTGTTGGGGCAGTTTTAGAGTCTCCGGCAAGGTGGCAGTTCACCCGCGGAGTTTTTAAGTCGTGCCCGGCCAGCTGATCGTGGATGCCCTCTCTCTCGTCGGTCGGCCTCTCTCGCTTGACGAACAAGTTCTCTACGTTCTACGAGGACTTCGCCCGAAATACCGCACACTGGCCGCATCTCTAACCGCTTCAGGCACGCCGGTGACGTTGCCGCAGCTCTCCGATCTGCTACAAGCCCAAGTATTCATCTATTCAGATGACTTCCCGGTGATAGATAGTGCAGCTCCGGCGGCCACTCCCACTACTTTATTCGCTGGACGTGGGCATCGGCATGGCGATCAAAACTCCAGTGGCCGGCAAATTGCGCACGCTGGACAAGGTCGTGGTTGGCACGGTCGTGGCAGAGGCGGTGGGCAGGGCCGTGGTCGCGAAGGCAGTCCCCATTGCCAGATTTGTAAGTCGCATGGTCACACAGCCGTCCATTGCTACAAACGCTACGCCAATCATCCTCCGTAGGGCAATGCAGCCGCCTCCGGCGAGCCTCCTCTGTCGGCGGCAGTGGATACGTGGTATCCGAACGCCGGAGCCACGTCGCAAGCAACCCCCGACGCACAGATTCTAGAACATTCCGACGTCTACACCGGCGGTGACGTGCTCAGAGTCGGCAACAGCGCAAGTTTGGGTGTTTCTGGTATAGGACATGCAACTATCCCTTCCGAGTCTAAAAGTTTAAATTTGTCGTGTATATTACATGTCCCAAAATTGTCACTACCCCTTTTGTCGGTTCACCGATTTACCACTGACAATAACGTGTATTTTGAATTTCACAAAGACTTGTTTACTGTGAAGGATTGCACCACCAAGGCGGTTCTGCTTAAAGGGCCTACCTCGGGCGGTCTATACAGGTTATTGGTCCCGCGGTCACATTTTGCATTCATAAGTGCCCGGGCGTCGTTACGAGTGTGGCATCAGCGGTTGGGTCACCCGCACAGTCAGGTCCTCCGACGCGTTCTCAAAAGTTGTCTGGTCACCACAAATAAAACCAGTTCATCAGAAGTGTGCACGGTGTGTCAACTCGACAAATCGTCACGATTCCCTTTAGATAAAGTTTCTACTTCTAGTGAACATGTATTAGACCTTTTGTATACGGACATCTGGGGCCCATCCCCTGTTATTTCTGCTTCAAGTTTTCGATATTTTGTCTTATTTGTAGACGATTGCTCACGTTTTTGCTGGTTTTACCCCTTACAGTTAAAATCAGATATATATCAAATATTTGAGTTGTTTAGGGTGATGGTAGAACAACGGTTTTCGCGTTCTATCAAAGCCATCCAGTTCGATTTAGGGGGTGAGTACCGACGCCTCCATAAAGTTTTTGAATCACTTAGTATTTCCCACCGACAATCGTGTGCCTATACGCACGAACAAAATGGCCGAGTAGAGCGCCGTAACCGATACATTGTCGAAACCGGTTTAGCGCTACTTGTTGAAAGCTCCGTCTCCCTAAAATATTGGGACTATGCCTTTGAAATAGCAACACACTTAATCAATTGTTTCCCACCAGCTACAATAAAGTTTGAACGTCCTTACTATCATCTACACAAAACTCTACCCACATACATGTTCTTTCGTATCTTCGGGTGCCGTTGCTTTCCCTATCTAAGGCCCTACAATCGGCACAAGATAGAGTTTCGCTCGGACCCGTGTGTGACACCCCGAAATCCAAATTCAATTAAGGGATTAATTGAGTAATTAATCCTATTTCAATTGGTGAATTAATTCCTAAAATCCTGAAAATTCAATAGTTGGGGACTAGTAATTGACTAGTCAACCCCAAAGTCAAAGTTGTACCTTGAGCTTCGAAGGGAGTTCCCTTGTTCCTTACACTTCCTAATGTTAGTAAGGGTATTCTTGACCTTTCACTTGGTGTTAGTATTGTAACCTAACCTAGTAGACCATCTTCATTCTTTCCTTACACTTTCTAAAAATCTAGCTCCACCTTCTCTCTAAAAAAGGTGGGTAGCTTTTCTTCCAAACCAAGTTGGAGCCTTGCCAAAACTTCAAGAGTTGCTTCCAAGATTCAACCTTTCACATATTTGGGCATCTAGGAGGGTAAGATCTAAGTTCATCTTGTGCTTTTGGTTTCATCTTAGGTGTCTTTTCTTAAAGGTGGTATCTTTATGATCTTTTGGTTTGTTCTTGAAGCGGGTTTGGAAGGTGAGCCTTGAGAGGAGCTTATTAAGGTGTAAAGTGAAGTCTTTAGTCTACAAGAGGTAACCCATGCTCTACAAAATCTATTTTGCTTACCTATATGTGAATTCTTGGATTCTATTTGTGTTTTTGCTATGTAATGAGAGTGTTTATGCATTATCTTGTGAAAATGCATATCTAGAGCTTGTGTTTAGGGTTCATTTGTGCCATTGCTTGGAATTTCCTTTGATTCAAGTCATTTTGTTGTATTGGGTGAGATTTTGCATGTTTTGGACTTGAATTTGAGCTTGGTGTTGAAAATCCCCGAAGGGATTGTTTTGGTACAGGACGTGTACCCGCGGGCGGAACGGCGGGCGGGGCACCACCCGTCGCCCCACCCGCAGGTACAAGGCCTCGTGGGAGATGTTCCCGTGGGCGGAACCACGGGCGGGGCACCACCCGCGGGGAACACTATGGTGTTTGTGTGGGATTTGTTCCCCGTGATTCTTTTGACTCGGTATTTGGTCTTTTGACTTCCTGATGTTCTTTTGTGGAACTATTTGAGTGTCTTCTTGATGTTTCGTATGTCTAGAACTATATGGTAGGTATCCATGTAGGTCTTTGGTGTCTTGAATCGTGCTAAGTGTTCAACATTGTGTTTCGTTGAACCGTGATGAGTCTTGTGTGTTCCTCGGAACTACGTTTGGTTTACCCGTTTGATAAGCATGCTAGTTCGATGTTTAAATGCTAGCGTGTGTGTTGTGTGTACCTTCCGATTGGTTGATGATAACTTGTGTTATTCATCATTGTTGTTGTTGGACTGTGTTCCATTCCTTGATTGAGTATGGTTTCATATCTTCGTTGTGATCCATTGATTGATTCCTGTTGAGGTGTGATGTGTGTGTGGCTTTACCTGGATTGCACAATTAGTGGTATGGGACACTAGTCACCAAGGTATTGCAGCGGTCCTCGTGATGGTCGTGACGTGATTATGGAGTTGTGGCCTTTGTGTAAGGTTCACGTGATTATTTCTGGGATAACATGTATTATCCAGGGCATGTGTTGCCATGTGTGTGTACGGTACCCTCGTGTACTATGAAATTGGTGGTCTCGTTGGTGGTCGTTGGTGGGGGATGACGGTCCCAGGAAGGATAAGGTTGGACTAAGAAGTACAGGGGTCCTGGAGGTAATGGTTGGAAGAAGAAACAAGATTGGGGGTAGCCATAAGGTTGGAACCGGGCATAAGGAAGGCATATCAACTTATATCTTACTTATGTATGTTATTTCACATGTATTGGTGGGTTACCAGCATTATTCACTGACCGGGCGTCGTCCCATGTTTTATTGTGTTCTTTCAGGTGATGTCTAGGCGAGTGCGCGGTCTAGTATTTGCTAGTATAGCTTTCCCCTCTCATATTGTGGCCTGTGAGCCAGTGTAGATGTAGAACTTTGAGACTATGGGATTAGATGTAAACATTGCAGATGTTGCCTGTGCGTTCATCCTTATGGTGAACGTGGCATAGCACCCCGTGTTTCAGATTTTATCTATCTATCTATCGTTCAGTCTTCCGCTGTGTTTATTGTTTAGTTCCGTTATCTGCATGTTTTAAGGCTTTTTATAGCATGTTTTTAGGGGGTGTTACACCGTGTGTGTTCCTAGGTTACCCAATGTCTTTTAGGGAATACCGCTGCATGGACCTAACCACTGGAAAGATCTTTATCTGCCGTCATGTCCGGTTTAATGAAATGGTCTTTCCGTTTTCTATACACTCTTCTTTGCATGACCAAACACAGCATAAGGCTAACGCACCGCCTTGGGGTACTGGGCCCATAGTGGTTCACAATCAGACCACCCCAGTAACTGAGGAGCTCCCACTGGCTCAGGTCTCACCACCATTGGCCTTGGAGGAAGCCATACCGTCGTCACAAACTGCCCAAGCTCAGCCACAGCAACAAGGGTATACCATGCGCACTCGCTGCAAAACGAGAGGCACGGGTGAACAATTCTTTGCCCTTAATGCAACTGTTGACCTAACTTGCTACTCTCAAGCCGTAGGGCACCCACAATGACGTGATGTCGTGGACCAAGAGTTCAACGCCCTACTCCATAACAACACCTGGCAGCTCATACCGGCTGAACCACATATGAATGTAATCGGCTGCAAGTGGGTTTACCGCACAAAACGCATGGCTGATGGATCAGTTGAGCGTTATAAAGCACGACTGGTTGTTAAAGGGTTCAACCAAGTAGCCGGCGAAAACTTTTTTTTTTTTTACACATTTAGTCCTGTAGTCAAACTGACTACAGTACGCATATTATTTTCTCTTGCAATGTCAGACAATTGGACCCTTAGGCAGCTGGATGTTCACAACGCTTTCCTCAACGGGCACTTGTCTGAAACCGTCTTCATGAAGCAGCCACCTGGGTATGAAGATTCAGCCCATCTGAATCATGTATGCCACCTACAGAGGTCTAGACTCAAGCAAGCTCACCGGGAATGGTTCAAGCGGCTGCATGAGTTTCTCATTACTGCATGTTTCTTAGCCTCTAAAACCGATGTGTCACTTTTTCACTACACCATTGGGGCTTCACGGGTCTTCTTATTGGTCTACGTTGATGACAGCATTATGATGGGCAACGACTCAGCATTAATTAATACGTTACTACAGCGGCTATCCGCGACCTTTAAGATAAGGGATCTTGGTACTCCGAGTTTTTTTCTTGGGCATTGAAACCCTCAAGGTTGATACCAGGATTCTTCTTTCTCAGCGGCGCTACATGGGAGATATATTAGCCCAAGCTGGTATGTCTGATTGCAAGCCTCTGGCAACACCAGCTGTAGTCACTCATCCAGTCACTCCATTGGCTCAGTCTTTTGACAACCCGACTCAGTATCGTCAAATTGTTGGCGCTTTACAATACTTAACTATTACCCGGCCAGACCTTTCCTATGCGGTAAACCGACTATGTCAGTTCATGCAAGCTCCCATCGACGATCATTGGGCTCTCCTAAAGCAGGTTCTACGATATGTTAAAGGAACGCATGACTATGGTTTGCGCTTGTCAGCGTCTTCCTCTTCTGACATTCATGCTTTTTTAGATTCCGACTGGGCGGGCTGTCCCGTTGACAGGAAGTCTACTAGTGGGTATGCAGTCTTTCTAGGGACCAATCTCATCTCATGGCTCTCCCGCAAGCAACGCACGGTGGCGCGCTCCTTAACTGAAGCCGAGTACAAGGGTCTAGCTGATGTCGCAGCAGAGGTCACGTGGGTAGTCTCTCTTTTACGTGAGCTAGGGCTGCATTCAGGAAATCCAGCGACTTTGTGGTGCGACAATCTGGGAGCCACATACCTAGTAGCCAATCCAGTTTTTCACGCACGGACAAAGCATGTTGAGATCGATTTCCACTTCATCCACGACAAGGTTGCATAAGGAGATTCCATTGTCAACTTTGTGTCCACTAAGGATCAACTGGCCAACATATTCACGAAGCCGCTACCAGCGCCGCGCTTTCAGGCTATCCGGGACAAGCTCAATGTTGTTTCTCAGCAACATTGCACTTGAGGGGGTGTGTTAATAATGTTAGTTATAATGTTATATTGTATACTTAATAGCCTAGTGGTTATAGTTCTAGTTGACTTAGCTTAGCTTATTGTATAGGAGACTTTTATGGCCTGTTTGGTTCGCTGAAGGAATAAACATTGGGAATTGTATTCCAATGTTTGGTTGGTTAAGTAATAGGAATGGAGTTGTTGTTGTTGTTGCGAGAAAATTGGTCCATCGACATTCTGCCGAGTGGCCGACGATGATCCTTCCTCCATCCTCAAGGAAGTCAGGGGGACTCAAGGAGGGGATCGCCATCGACAATAGCCCAATCGGACGTCATCGGAGGAGGCATTTCTTAGCCGCGATGGCGATTGCATCTTCGCGTCGTCAATGGCGATCGCATCTTCGCGTCGTCAATGGCGACGCCGGGGGTCTCGGGGCTTCTTCTGGATGGCAATGGCCTCTTTCAACAACCGGGGGTCATCGCAGAGGCTCCACGAGGTGATCGGCAGGCTCAGGATGCAGATCGGCGTCCGAATGGGATTTCTACTTTTCTAGGGTTTGCGATCGCAATCACGACCTTGCTTTGTCAATGGTGGTTCCGGCCACCTTCCCGGATGGATTGCCGCGATCAGATGGCTGATCGCTCGTCGCGGGGGACGTGCAAAGTTCTTGGTCCCTCGTCCGGTGACGACCTTGGCCGGCGATGGTCTTGATCGACAGCAGGGGGTCATCCTGCGATTATATCGTAGAGAGAGAAGGAGAGAAAAATAGGTTAAGCAAAAACATAAAGTTGGAAAAAAAAAATCTAGGTTCATACCAGAGGACCCTGATAATAGCTATTACCTTATTTGGTGGAATAGGCTATGACATTCCCGGCCTATGCTATGACATTCCTTGCCTATTCCGTGAACCAAACGGGCCATTAGGTTAGCTATTCCTATAGGTCTCTTCTTTTGTAACTAATTCAATCTATCGATCAATCTTGAACCGTAACTCTCATCATTTAATGACAATTAATGGTCGTTAATTTTATACTCTCATCATTTAATGACAATTAATGGTCGTTAATTTTATTTATCGACATCGATTTATGCTTGAAGTATTTTATCAATTTGTTTCAGCATTGCTATTTTGTTATTTCCTTGTAGTATATAAGGAAGATTTTCATGCTTAGTTTTGAATAATCTTCTTCACTCTCAAACCCTAACCCTCTTTCTCCTCTTATTCTTCCATTTCTCTTTTCTTCGTGAGTTTTCAAGTAAATGACGGAAATTTTTTTTACTGCGTTTGTTTTTATTTCATGCAATCTGCACCGAAAAAAGCACATGCAAGATACACGCAACAATAAGTAGGCAGATTACTTTCTCAAGATAGATGAAACGTAAAAAAAAAAAAAAAATCAAAAAAAAAAAATCAAAAAAAAAAATCAAAAAAAATTAAAATTATATTAAAGTCCCTAGAATTTCTATACTACCAGAGCAAAGAAATACGAAGGAGCTTTTAACCAACACAAAATGCTCAAAATGTTTTTCACCTTTTTTTTTTCCTTTTGTTGACTTGCATTCAGCCTTCACGTATTAGGAAACAAGGACTAACCTGGATGACTAAGAACACAAAATTTGGTAATGAAGAATCATCTTTCTTCCTCTCTAAATATCTACCATAAAAATGCTTCAAATAAACAAAGTTACTACTCATCAGCATAAATTATCCAATGATGCGTTTCATTTTGGCAATTTAAGCCAGACCAGACCCACCCCATTAGGCTACAAAAGATCGTCTTCATCTTCACTACCAAAAGACTCAAGTAGTTGACTGTCATCATCATCCTCACCCTCAGTCACAATCTCCAATATTCCAGCTCCACCATCATAGTCCATATCATCCATAATGAATTCCCCATCATCATCCTCTTCATCATCATCTAGTGCGCTCAAACTATCATCAATGCTAAGATCATCACCATCACTTTCGCCATCTCCATCAAGTTCTGTTCCAATGATATCTTCTTCATCAACATCATCATCATCATCATCATCTTCATCCTCCTCACTATCAGCATCATCAGGATCAGAGTCATCCTCTGTAAGTCTCCGACGACCAATCTCATACACCCTGGCAGAAGAATACATCTCATCTTGGTCATCCATAGTCACCAATCCAACAAAGGAATCAGTAGGTTCTGTAGCAAAGTCTAGGACACAGCGGTCCACAGGAATAGTTGCAATGTCAGCATAGTTAACAGCATCAACAGTACGGAAAGCAGAAAAGAGTGAATGTTTTGTCCGACGAGTATTGAATGCTGAAGTAACCTCCTCAACATTTCTCCTAAGTATTGCATATATCACATCACCACTAGCATTAAATGTTATTATAGTTTGATCCAAGGATGGCACACTCCTTAAAAGTCTGAACTTCCGAAGGTCCCAAACCTCTGAGTTTATGATCACCTGTAATATATATATACACACACAGATATACCAGATAGTCAAAACAATAGTTTCCACAACACCCAAAAAATATGACAACCAGAATGCAAAATCTTATGAATGAAGTAGAGCAGGAAAAAACTAAAACATTGAAATCAAGTCCTCACCTCATTCCCTGCAGGATGAAAGCCCCCACCCCCATAATCTGTGAACTGATCAAAACGATGTATTGCACGGGACCCCCGGTGATCCCATAAAACACCATTCCAGAGTAGCATATTGTCTGATGGGCTAAAATGTACATGGGAATACACGTGTCCCCGACCTGAAACGATGTTAGACGCATCCGTAAGCTTCAACTCCAGCTGGCAAGTCTGGATGTCATACAACAGGATTTCACGCTGAGTCTCCGTTGACAATGCTGCAAATGTTGTACCAGATTTGCTAAACCTAGGAGCTTTACACCCTTCAAATGAATGCCTGGGTCCAGCAGATACAGAAGATGCATCCCATAGTTGCACATCTTGGACACTTGAAGAGAGTATCAATTGAGTCTCTCCGGAAAGATAAGACTGAAGTTGTGTCAAAGGATTTTGATGGCTTGTAAAACTCTCAACTATAGTATTGCTATTAGAGTCAAAAACTTTAAGCTCTCCTAAGTGGCTGCCAGCAGCAATCTGGGAGGAATCTCCAAGAAAAGTCATGCAGGTCAAAAGGGCACCTGTATCATCTCGGCAAGTTCGCCAAGGTCTAAATCTGCTGTAGACAAATTGACGATCCTTACGCCTTCTATGAATTCCACCATACATACTTCTAAACTCACGTGAAGTAAGCCTGGCAGTTACATTTGATGGAGCATCAAGACTTCGTCTTGGTTCTGGACAGACATGTGGTTGCAAAAGGGACAATGGAGGTAATGTGGTGATAGGAGCTGGGCATTGGCGATGTTGGTGCTTAAGATACTGAACCACCAGAGAATCCAAGGTTAACCGCTCTGCATTTGAGGCTTGCATGTCATTTAGAAGATTATGTTGGGAAGATGGCATCTGACTCAACAAACTGTTACTAGACTGGTTATCATCCCCATCAGCTGGTAAAGCACTTCCAAGAGACCGACCATGGTGATCCTTGAAAGATGAACTTGGTGTAAGTAACAAATTTGAATCAGAAGGAAAACCACTTCTACGACCAGGATTAGGAGTTGCAAAGGTTGGAGATCTAAGGGGATTGTCACCAGTGTTAAGACGTTTTACTGGTGGTACCCCTGACACACTATCTCTAATATCTGTTAATTTGCGTTTCATTGGCAATAAAATTGGAGTCTTGAACTGAACATCTGTATCACTAGCCAATTTTGCTGCAGATGCAGATTGAACTTCCACAGAGGCAATAGGTGTAGAAGATTTCCTAGAACTGTTGATCTTGCAACCTGATGCTACTGGGGAGACTTCACAAGGATTATATTTCGAATGCAGATTACGAGCAGATGAGAAACTCAATGGTTTCCTTTTTGAGGAGGAAACTGGATCACATTTCAGTCCAAACTCTTCATCCTGCAATGCAGCTTTTGGCTTATCTAACATGAATCCACCAGGTGCACGCCCAGATGGCCATTGAGTTTGTAATGAGGTTGTTTCCTGGCCAGAAATTTGATATGTCAGAGAAGATGGCGTTGCTAAAGATGGCAAAGGTGTCAATTGAGCCTCCTTTAGAAGAGTAGAAGCAGTTTCCCCCAAACCAGACGCCTGCAAATGCTCATGAATGAGAAGTAAAAGTTCCCTGAATAAGGCAAAGGATCATTGTTAATTAATACATACAAGTGATAGGAAAAGAGAGAAAAATAAAGAGACCTATTTTTTATTATTGCATCACCTAGCATGATATGAAATTGGGGTAGCAGCAGCTATAGCAGCTCTCTCTATACGTCGCAATGTTGGAGTAGCAGCATCTGTAGCAGCTAGAGTACTTGCACGTCCAGAACTCGTTACAACCTAGAAAATACAAAGTCTTGAAACATGAATTTTGAGTTTCCACAAAAAAAAGGAAGAAAGAGACCCAAGACTTCATTAGAATTAAACAGTGCAACTAAGAACTCCACCAAGATAGGACTGTAACTTTATTCTTCAACATTGAAAGCAAAAATAAGAAAGATAAAGTTGTAGTTTGTGCAGTTACCATTAAAAATATATAACAGAACTTTAACTAAGGATTAAGAACACAGACAAATAAACATCCAGATGCAATGGTAATAAAAGGGCAGAAAGATTTGTCAGCCGACAATCAGAAGCAAAATGCTAGAACTTAATAATGCAGAAATGTCTAGATGAAAGGGTAGAACACTTTGCTATTACCTTAACCCAACTTGAAAATCTAATGATTTAAATACAATAGCAAGTAGTTCTTACCCCTATGAGCTCAATAGCCACCTGTGCAAGCTCAGCTTGCCACTTATTC